GGTCATAGGGGACACAAGAATATCTCAAAGTGGTTTTGACTTGCATTTCCCTGATGATTAGGGATGATGAACATTTTTACATGTGTTTTTTTTTTTTGCCACAATATGGATATATCACAGATTTCTTTCTTTCTTTCTTTCTTTCTTTCTTTCTTTCTTTCTTTCTTTCTTTCTTTCTTTTTTCATTCATCTGTCTTCTTGGGAGAAGGTTCTGTTCATGTCTCTCACCAAATGATAAATGAGTTTTCTCTTTTCTTGTTGTTTACTTTGAAATATCTGTAGATTCTGGTTACAGGGTTTTCAACAAAGTTCAGCATCATTTTTTGATGAGAACACTTAAGAAAATAGGCATAGATGGGACATTTCTTAAACTGATAGAAGCCACCTACAACAAAACCACAGGCAATATCACATTGAATGTAGTAAAACTGAAAATATTTCTCTTTAGAACTGGAACCAGAGGGCAGTGCCTATGGCTCAAAGGAGTAGGGCACTGGCCCCATATGCCAAAAGTGGTGGGTTCAAACCCAGCTCCAGCCAAAAAAAACTGCAAAAAAAAAAAGAAAAAGAACTGGAACCAGACAAGGATGTTCACCTCAGCACTATCATTTAACATAGTGCTGGAAGTCCTATCCAAATTGGGACAGAGGAGGTCAAAAATCTCACTCTTTGCTGATGATAACATCTTATACTTAGAAAATCCTAAGGGCTTAACCATGAGCCTCCAGGAAGTGATCAAGAATTATAGCAGCATCTTGGGATATAAAATTAATTTCTTCAAATCAGTAGCCTTCGTATATGCCAACAATAGTGAAGGTGAGATGAAAATCAAAGACACCATACCTTTCACAGTGGCTTCAAAGTAAAGGAAATACCTTGCAATATAGCTAACCGAAGATGAGAAGGATCTCTACAGAGAGAACTATGAAACCCTAAGAATAGAAATAACAGAAAACATGAACAAATGGAAGAACATGCCCTGCTCATGGCTGGGAAGAATCAACATTGTTAAAATGTCTATACTACCTGAAAGATTCTACAGATTTCATGCAATCCCCACTAAAATACCAACATTATACTTTGCAGAACTGGAAATATTTGTTCTTTGTTTTGTATAGAACCAGCCCCCATGTTTCATAAAAGGTTAATAACCAAAATATACAAGTAACTCATACAATTGAATAACTAAAAATAAAAATAGTAAAAGGACATGAGTAGACATTTCTCCTAAGAAGACATACAAGTAATCAAAAAGATGTAGGAAAAGGTACTTAACACAACTAATCATAGAATATCAATTCACACCCAACAGGATGAGTTTCTTTTTTATATTTTTTAATAATTAATTCATCTTATTTTTTTTTTTATTGTTGGGGATTCATTGAGGGTACACAGGACCAGGTTATATTGATTGCTTTTGTTAGATAAGGACCCTCTTATAATTCTGTCCCACTCCCAAGAGGTGTACCACACCCATTATCCCCCCACCTCCTCCCTCCTTCCCTTTCTCAGCTCTCCTCATCCCCCACCCCTACCATGTACTAGGACCTTAATTGTCCTCATATCAGAATTAAGTACATAGGATTCTTGTTTCTTCATTCTTGTGATGCTTTACTAAGAATAATGTGTTCTACCTCCAACCAGGTTAATACAAAAGACGAAAAGTCTCCATCTTTTTTATTAGCTGAATAGTATTCAATGGTATACATATAACACAGCTTGTTAATCTATTCCTGGGTTGGTGGGCATTTAGGGTGTTACCACATTTTGGTGATTGTAAATTGAGCTGCAATAAGCAGTCTAGTCAAGTGTCCCTGTGGTAAAAGGACTTTTTTTCTTCTGGATAGATGCCCAGCAATGGGATTGCAGGATCAAATGGGAGGTCTGGATTGAGTTCTTTGAGGGCTCTCCATACT